GAAATGCATGACGAGAAACGGACAGAGACACAGATAGACTCCACGCGATTTGATCAGCTCCATTAAAGTTGAATCAAACGACATTAGACTAGGCTATACACTGCTGAATAGTGCCACTTTGGTGATTGGGTAGATTTATTCTCAAAAAAGCTTTGAACTTAACGTATTTTGACGACACATAATTCGGTCGTCATATATTGTGAAAAAAGAAAAGTTGTATTTTATCCATTTTATTTGTTGCGTTCTATATACGTGTATTTGTATTTTTATTTTATCTTTTATTTTAACCAACTTTCATCTGTCACATTTGACTGAGGATGTCTTTTGAATAAAGACGAAACGTCTCAAACAGAAAATAGTCGATTTTCATGATGAAAAAGGTTGTGTAACAGTATTTTCTTCCCAGTTTATGTTGTCAAGTTTAAAATTAATCTGCATCAAATATTTGATCTTTTACTTTTCAACGTTTGTTTGATCATTGTTAGAGAAAGTAAGTTTCATACTAGCAACAACAGCAGTTTGAAATTGGGTGTATATTTTCTTTTCTCATTGAGTAACAGAGAATAGTGCACGTGGCAGTGCATCGATAATAGAGAGAAAGTACTTTTTCTGGAAGAGTTAACATCATTATTAAAAACATTGCATTTGTAGAATATTTCGGTCAATAAATCGGTTCTTACCAAGATACTTCGCTCAGTCTTCCACTTTCTTGAAGCCTTGTCTATAGCTAAAACTAGTAGAGTGTAATGACAGATACACTGCGCTACCCACCCATGTGCTTATTCGAATGTATTCTTTACAAAATCATTCACATTTCTGACGAAGATTTCAATTCAAAAACTAACTGTTGACATTTTATGCATCGTTCTGCACTTACTTTATAACTTATTTCGAATAAATAATCTACAAATAAAAAGACTTTATCTGTCTGTAACATGCACAGAGTCATCCCAAACTTCTGCTGGAAACCCCAAAATATGGATTTTACACTAAATCTTCTACTTTCGCATACATTTTAGAAATTAAAGAGACCAATGACGAGCCAGTCTATGCTGGCACAGGCATTAACTGTGTAAAGACAAGTGAACATGGGGGATACAGTGCGTCAATTTCGAGAAGCAGCTAAAAAACTAACGAAGGCGTCTTTAATCGCTGACTGATGGTTTCATCAACAAATCTAATCTTCTGGACTTCAATCAATATATTACTTTTATCAGCTACTTTTAGAACCGATAGATTCCTATTTATTCGTTTTTGTTTTTCTAAGAATAATTTTCTTTTTCCAACATTCAAGATTGATCATGTGCACAAGAAAGTTACTGTTTTTTGGGTTTGTGAAGCTATTATCTGCTTTTAACAAGAATCTCAGTCTTCCACTTTCTTGAAGTCTAGACTATAGTTAAAAATAGTAGAGTGTAATGATAGATACACTGAGCCACCCAACTGTATGCTTATTCAAATATCATTGATATTTCTGGCAAAGATTTCAATTCAAAAATTAATTGTTGACATTTCATGCATCGTTCAGCACTTACAGAATAACTTACTTCGAATAAAAATTTAAAACGAAGATGAAAGTGTTGATAAACTGTGGGAAGTTTTTACAAGCAGGTCTCGAAGAGAGTGTTTGTAACCTCTTAACAAAGAAAGCTAGCGGAGGACCTGCGGATTTCAGATACTAAAACGAGACACTTTGCGATGTACACCTGTGAAAAAGCATCCGGTGGTATGCCTGTTAGGAGCTTTTGTAGGTAATTGAGGTAAAGCGTTAGAAGTTAGATTAGAAGTGCTGGTAAAAGATCAGCTTGTGAGGTTTATAAATAATCCTGACACATCGTCGTCCTTTGGTATAGGTGAGGGTGAAACTCTCTCCGTTTCATTTAAGCAAACCTTGGAACTGCCTTTGTCAAGAAAGAAATGGTACTTTCTCTTCCTTCTACTTTCCTTCTACATGGAAAAAGTTCGCATATTAATTTTTGCAGAAAACGAATCTGTGTCTTTTGTTACAGATACTAGACCGATCTCTTTGTTAGATGTGCGTTTTAGGATTCGAGAAAAGCGATTTTTATCAAGATTTTTACAAATATTAATTTAAGAGGAATTATACCCGGTACACAGTCCGAGTTTCGTGGCGATTTTCGCTTGCAGACAAAAGTTTTGCTGCTCATTGATCAAATCGCTTCATATATGTTTAACAATTCTCCAGCAACAACTATTTTTTTATCGACTTTAAGAGCGCATTCGATCAGCTGTATGAACTGATTTAACGCTGACCAGAACTTGATAAAAGTGATACTCTTACATTTTATCCAGATTTAAATTAATTTGCTATCTTTCGCACCAATTAGTCATTTTGATTAAATGATTATTTAATTTCATTGTGGAAGGGTTTGCCTTCTACACGTTCAGAAAAAGATATAAATAAGCAACTGACAAGTATCCGGTTATGTACGCTTTGGTAACGGTTAAATAAACAATAACGACAAATGAATAGAAGAGTAGATCCACGAGTTACAACTACTTTATACACGACTTTCTTCCGAAACATAGCTACCTGTTTTATTCAAAAGAGCATAAAAGTTTTATCAAAAGAATATTGTTGAAAAAATTTTAAAACAGCAGTAATACCCCCGTGGCGAGAATAGCGGAGACCTATGTAAAAATCTAGTATTTGATTTACAACGGCGGCTGTCAAGCTTCGATAAGTTTCCTATTAACAGATATTGTAGAGCTTTCCAAGACGCATCGAATGATGTATGAATGTTTAGAGATTTTCTTTAGTTTCACAGAAAACGTGAAGACTAGTTCCGTTGACATGGTTTTGACCTATGGAAAAGTCAAGTATTAAATTCATGAAACCTTCATGCCAGGCTCTGTTAAGTTTCTTATTAACACATGTTGTAGAGCGTTTCATGGCGTATCGAATGATGTATTGCGCTAGGCTTAATATAGTATGGTTACTAAAAAATGTTGAGTTTACAGTCATACTGTTGGTGTTAAACTGTTGCTTGGTTTCAAGTAGATTCTGTCGGGTATATTCGACTGAAAGCGTTTGGAAGGGTCGAAATCATCGAACACGATAATCGGATGCGATTCTGATGAGGTTGGGACCGATTAGAGGGGTTATTGTTGGTGGGCCGATTATTGTTCTTATGTGGACTTCACCTTTAAAAGAGCAGTATAGAACCGTAGTGAGATCGACAATATCGATTTGGGCCGGCAGTCCTTACTCGCATCGGTCGAGATAAGGGTGAGGGAAGTCTCATAAGAAAATTGAGTTAAGAGTCGAAATTTTTACCGAAAGTTCTACTAGACAATACTATTAAAGTACAGCGACAGAAAATTTATGGAGAAAACTGGATTATATTTATGGAGAAAACTGGACTAAAACCGTTTTCTAAAAATCCTGCCGTAACAGAGCTGAATGTACAAGGAGTATTAACATGAATGACGATTTATCTGCTGCTCTCAATTCTATACTACATAACTGTTTCTATTTCCTCGCTGGATCGAAAGTAAAACATAACTTTCTACGTACTTGGAACTTTAAGTTTAATTTTCCTATTCACATTAACGATCATCATTCTTTATTTATGCTACATCAAGAAAAAAAGTAATTATGCTTTGGCAATCAACTGCCTATCATGCTGCCTCTTTCGACAGACTAAAATCGAATTATGAATGTAATTATATGTAGTTTCTATTTAAATACTGTTATCATTCGTGTAAAAATCAAAAATTGAATTTAAATTCGAAGTTCCAAAATGTCAAGTTTCGAATTCTACGGCTTTCGAATTCTTTGAATTGGAAATTCGAAATTCGACTCAACCAGAGAGAGAGGGAAGTAAGAGTGGATGTAAAAACAACATTGAAAAGTGAAAGTTCAGTTCAAATTCGAAGCACGTTGAAAGTCGATGTTGTTCATTTTCATTTATTTAATTAAAACCGTTCGTAAGATTTTCACTTAGTTGAATAATTTCTCCTCCTGTTGCACATAAAGTGTACATACAAATGTGTCATTCGTCGGATTACTCAATCAAACAAACCTATGATAGTGCAGGTACATAAACCTTATCAGTTTTTTCTTTAACATAACAGTGAAGTAGGACCAACCCAACAACATCCATCAATCTCATCTCATTTTATTTATTTATCGTTTCTATAGTTTTTCATTCGTGCAGAAGTGCTTATTTTCATGGGAGTGGGAGATGTACTATTGGTTATCAAATCAAGCTCGGGTTCCTCCTGACTATGGTCTCAGCAACACTAAAATTTGGGCTTTTAATTGTTGCAGTTTTGTTTGGAAAAACATATTGTCATCGAGTGAAAAATAAAAGTAAAAGAAAATATGACCTATCTTTATATTGGTTTCCTCATTCTCACCACTCATATTCGAACTGTCTCGTAATTCATACCCTGTTTTATGCAGTGAAAGCAAAGTAAAGCTATGCGCTTTTGACAAGTAGAAGGTAAAGATTATCATCAGTGCTATAATTGTCATTGTTACTAGCATTAGGGAGAGCTATTGTTAGAATGACTTCTCGCTCTTTTCTTCTACCATACTAATATCAGCAAATATTTCTGTCAATTCTCGATCGTCAGAATGAGTGTGAAATTGTGATGTCACTAATGTGCTATCATTTTCGGTGGGCATCCTAACCATTCTGTGTTTTCCGGCAGTTGATCATCTTTCAGTATTAAAGTGCATGGATTAATGATATTACCGCCTTTTAATTGACAGCCAGGAAACACCATTGACATGCTTCTTAATATCGAATATGGACCGACTGTTGTTGGCATCAGTTTCAGTATTCGCTGTTCGTAGGTGTGACACTAAAATATCGAGCAAAAATCAGTACTAATTATTGCATCAAATTAAATGGAATATACATACTTGAATAATAGCCCTTGTACTTATTCGAACATGGTTAAATATTGTAATAAATGGATAATCAAGCACATTTTGAAAATCTGTTATGAGAACATCATTACCAATTATTTTTGCTCCCAAACCACGTAATAGATAAATTAACCACTGTGTACCGCCTAACAACGGGCTGACAAATAAGGTATAGTCTCTACGTATCACTCCACTCATAATATAATGCCATCCTAATGTATTTGCCTTGGGTTGTGGTTCAGATTGACGTTTTTCATACAGCGAACTCCACAACAAACATAGAAGTGCTGAGTAAATAACCAATAGCAACAAACATGAGAAGCACATATTGATATTCAGTGATTTAATGACCAACACGAAGAGGACAAGTATCGATTTGGCAAGTAACTCAGCTGTTATTTTTTGCCAGTACGAACAAGTCAAACTAATCTTTGTTTTATTAATGCCATCAGCTGCGAGTGATGTTGGAGACATATGGAATGGCATTTTACGTGCTGGTACACCCAATATTATGTCTTTTGGTTCAAACATTCCATCTTCTTGCGTAACACATGTCATACTGCCAACAACAGAGTAAGGTGGTATAGTAGTACCACCATAAATAAGACAATTATTTCCCATTTGAACATTATTTCCTATGGCAAGCTTTTCTACAACACATTGTCCTTTAACAGTTTTGTTTGTGATTAATAATACCTCATCAAATGTTGTCATGCCACTCCCTATAGTTAATAAATTTGATGGTGATTGTAAAAATCCGTTAAACTGAGCTATCTTTATATCATCATCGTCCTCTATTTGTGCACCAAGCCATTTAAGTATTAATGGATAGCACGAATGACAAGGACCCAATATATGGAACGAAAGACTGAAATTCGACACAACCAATTGCCTAAACCATATTTTACGCAGATAATACCACGAATTCAAATTATAAATCCCCTGTTCAACGTCACCTACCAAAATCTTCAACAGCAGGAGTGTAACTAGCATACAAATGAATGACCATATAATCCAGCAGATTGGAATGCTTATTGTAAGATGAATCCAAGAGAAAAATTGACAATAAACTAAATATGTAACGTTAAGGCACATTATGTGCAAGCAAACAATAAATATAATACACATAAAATGACAAAGTGAGTGCAAGCTGCTCATACTTAATCTTTCCTCTATTGGTAAGCTGCTAATCTCATGCATTTGTCGATCATTCAACTTTATAATTCCAGTCACACCCGTCATCGGGTTAATGGTAACATGATTTTGCATTTGAACTCCGTTGTGCAAGACTGAATGATTACCAATGGTACAATTTGAACCAATTCTGATATAGTTCAGTTCATAAGTGGTACCGTTGTGAGACAAACTATTTAATATGACATCTTGAGATATAACAGATGAATTCTGTATCTTCAACAAATCAGGTACATCAATATGAGTGGTATAAATATGAACATCTTTCTGGCCCACTTTTGCACCGCATAATTGTAAATACATGTTGTAAAACTGAGTACCTAAAAAGACTTTTAGATACGTGGAATTTAGAATCCAGACACGATTAAGGATCCACCAACGATAATAATCCCAAGAATATAATTCGTATTTGCCAGCTCTCATTCCATTCGGAAATAATAGTCGTTTCATGATAATGTACGTAAGTAATTGCTTCGTTGGTATTAACAGAATATAGAAGCTAATCCACATCAATATATTATTTATTTTCAACGCACGAAGAATTAAGTTCGTGGTCCACAACGGCGATAAATAATAAAATAACAAGAAAATAATTCCTAATGTCTCTAAAAGTATCGAAGGCTTAACATCTGAATCGACATCAGGTATTATTAATTGATTCTTCTGCAGTTGGCTAACTTTCTGACCGTTGTCATCTTCCATCATACGTTTAATCACTTCAGATAAAAGTCGAACTGATGGGTAAGAAAACAACAACCCAACGTCCATACCTGAATACACCTTTTGACGTACTAATATTACTGCTCTCATCGCACCTAGTGAGGTACCACCCAATTCACCGAACGAAGCCGTTAAATCGACATTTTCATCATCCACCAGGCGAAAGCCTTCAACAAATATAGCCCGAATATCTTCTTCCAATCTCGTCCGAGGAATGTAACAAGCTCCAGACTTGGAAACACCAACGACGTCCACAGGAGCTACTTGCTGAAGAGCCTTTCTATCAACTTTTCCATTGGCATTCAGTGGAAAAAAGCTCACAAACGTCCAAGCAGTAGGCACCATATATAGCGGCAGGCTCAACCGGCAACAACTAATAAGCTCACTCTTCAATGCCTCCTTGCGATGCCCCAAACCATCTGAACCAAAATCAATGTTAGCCTGAATGAATGCATGCAAAATATCCCCCTTCAAGCCATCACTAAACTTCACAACACAAACATTAACAACCGCATTCGAAAAATTCAACAATACATGCTCAATTTCTCCAGTTTCAATACGTTGTCCACGAAGTTTTATTTGATAATCTACTCTTCCAACGAAACGCAGTTCACCACTTGAATCCATTTTAACGAGATCTCCCGTTTTATAACATTTGTCATTTG